TGTTGAGTTTTTTGGAGCATATTACCCTACTGTTACTATGGCTTTAGTACATATAGTTGAAATTTCTTTTCTATTCTTTGAATTTAAAAAGAAAGAAAAATATAGGGATGTTGTTGAAAAAATGCAAGCAAAATTCAAAAAATATTTCATTCCAATTCCTCTGATTTACTTAATTGGTGTTGTTTTAAATTCTTCTATTAAGATGTCTGGTTATCACCAATTAATGAATGCTTTATATACTTATATGGAGATTGGACCAACTGAAACCCCAGATTTATATACTTGTATGAACAAGCTAAATGAATATTTACAACAATTATATAATTATTATGCAAATGTAATTGATGATGCTGCTCGTAGTGTAGGCAATGGTAATCCCACTATGCACTGTACCACTTCTGCTGCTATGAATGATGAAGAAGGCCTTGATAGTTTTAATATTTTTTCTACATTTTCTATCACTCAAACCAGTAGCAGGAACATTGATGAACTTCAATTCTACTTGCAGAAGCAAAAAGAGCCTCGCACAAAGGAATTTTCACCGTTGGGATGGTGGCATGAGAATGGAAAGCAATTTCATGTTCTTTTCGCTATGGCTCGGGACGTACTGAATGTGTCAATTTCAACTGTTGCATCAGAGAGTGCATTTAGTCAAGCAAGATAACAACTTGGAGACACCCGTCACTCATTGGGAAGCAATACTTTGGAAGTTTTAGTATGTTTCAGAGATTGGATTAGATCGGAACGAAGAAATCAAGGACGTGAAGATGTTGATAGCCCAGAAGACGAGGAACTTGGAGATATATTAACACATGGTAACCCATCCGAATTTAACACTCCAGAAGAAGGTCAATCAGTTCATATTGATTATGAAGAACTTACTAAGGCAATGCAAAACCATTGAATTTACTCTTTTTAACCTTTGAATTTACTCTTTTTTGGTTAATTTACTTGTTGCTAAATGTAAACCTTTCAATTTGTAAGTTTGAATTTTGAAATAAATGTAGCACTTGAAATTTATAAGTGCAATTTTTTTCCATCTTACTTGTATTCTTTATATTAATATAACTTACAATAGTTATACAAAATACAAAAAAACTTAAAAAATACACTAAATCCGGCCCGGCCCGCCCCCCTCAACCCGTAATTCGTACGGTTCAATTTTTATCCGAATGAATCCGAACCCGTTAAACCCGGTAAGCCCCAACCCGGACCATAACCCGTACGGGTACAAAAAATCCTAACCCAGCCCGGCCCACCCGTTAAACAACCTTAGTTTATAGTAGCTAGTTTGACTTCTTTTAGCTGGGTATTAAAAAAAATGAGAAGGGAAAAAAGTGGATAGGGCCTAACTTCTCCTTTATTAAATTGCAATAACAAACAAATTTAATACTTTTCTTATTTTAGTTAACTATACTAGTTTACAAGGGTGAATTTAGAAGATTTTAAGAGGAACTTTGATGAGTGAAAGTTGTAAGAAATAGCCCATTTTTTGGCAACAGAAAGTATCTAGTTGGACTATTTCAACACTCAAGTGAAACTTTCTAACGCTTCTCACTTTGTTGTTATCAACTTCTAGCAGATAAAAAAGGATCCTGCCTTACTAGAATTATTTTAGAGAGTTCATGTAATAAATTAGCTAGTCTAGGGAACATCTGTGCTATAACTGGCACCTCTGTTTTTTTTTTTTTAATAGCTCCTTTAACTCTACAAATTATGGACTTGATCCCAATGGAACTTCCATGATAGAACAATGTAATGCTACTTAGTTTATATTAATAAATTATCCTTGTTAACCAAAAAAAAATGGTAAGAAATAGATTCTAAACAAAGACAGCTTACACTACAAAATTTTTAGAGATGTAAAAAGTTATCTCTTGCTCAAACTTTAGGGAACCTTTGACATTTGAATCAAATTTGGCCAGAAACTAAATTTTCACCCCTAGTAGATTGAAGAATGTGTTACTACTTATGAAGGAATAAAATTGTTTACTCAATAAAAATTCATGTAGCCAACCCAATTTCTTTAAAACTAAGGCGCATATTTGTTTGAAACTGGGGCTTTGTTATTGTATACCAATATTCACCAATAAGTATAACATGTTCCTTTGTGCTACCTAGATACAATGCATAACTGTAAAGTTTTGAACGCTTTTACATTTCCCCAATTAGCGTTTCATTTAGGACTGCAGATGAGTTTTCTTTTTTAAGAAATAAGTTACTAGTATGAAGTACTTCAAACAAATTACTTCGTGTGTTCTGCGACTGAATAAAGAAAACACTTTGTAGTATAAAATAAGTGCTGCCTAAGTTGTTCGGTATCATCGATTCATGAAATACTCTAAACGAACATTTCACTAAATTGACCTCAATGAAAGTTTCTCTGTTTTGATCTGATTAGTAGAAAACCCTAACAAACACTATAAAGTAAATATTAGCAAAATCTAAAATTGATGATTGATTTCTGCAACTGCAAGTTTTTATTTCTGCCGCTACCAAAAGGGCATAGGGGACCTAACGATACAAGGCAAACTGGAGCTGTTTACCATCAGCCCAAAAGCTCTTAAAGCTTTAGTTCCTTTTACATAGAACTTTTTTTTCCGAACCTTCTACCAAAAACAAAAAAACAAATCTTTTTACATAGAACTGATTCTAAAGATGGTGGTGCTTTGAAGCTGAAGAAGAACATAACATAAAGATTGGTTGGAAGGTTTTTATACAGCCGGTTGCTAAGTTGATCGTTGAAAGGCAGAAGATTGTCATGAGCAACCTGGTATCAGGTATACAATTAGCCTTCATTCATTAAGGGAAGCAGATCAAGGATGCCATTGTAATTACACATTTGTGTTTGGATATGAGGGGGAAAAAGAACAAGAATACCGTCCGTGTTTTACGCAATTAGGAATTGAAAAGGCATTTTTATCATTATTTCAACTAGAGTATGTGGTAAACCTACCAAGGCAAGTAGGGTACGCAAACTTGGATCGATTATATACACTTATACATATCCTCAATCAAATATTCCATCACCATAAATGGGAAAGCCTGAAGGATTCTTTCCATCTGGAAGGGCATAAGACGAAGAGAACCCTTATCTCCTTTTCTCTTCATCCTAGATATGAAAGGCCTTGGCATGATACTTAAGGCTGCATGCAGAAGGCTTGGACTTCAATGTGGGTGGATTGCGGCAAAATCAGATCATCATATCCCACAGTTTGTACATAGATGACACCCTCGTTTTATCTGATGCAGATGAAAATCAATTAAGGCATCTGAAGAATCGTTGTTTGAAGCTGTTTCTAACGCCTCCATATTATCTTGAGCAGAAACTGCATATACACTGTCAACTCTGCCCAAGGACTTCAAAAAAATGACAGTGTTGGTTTCAGTCTAGAGTCCCTCCCAACTACTTACTTGGGACTGGTTTTAGGAGTCAATCACAAATCTAGAAAAAGGGTGAATGGGAAAGTTGAAAGAAGACCCTCGAATTGAAAAAGGCAATACTTGTCCCTTGTGGACTAGATGCACTCATACATGATGTCCATCTTTCCGGCTGTATACATGCAACGAAGATTTGACAGAGTGAGAAGAATTGTCTGTGGGAAGGCAATAAAGAGAGGAGAGATTATCAGTAATCATCTGGGACACTGAAGAAAGGATAGAAGTGTTGAATTAATCCTGAGAGCTCTTAGTAAGCACTTCTATAAAAAAGGTTGTGGAGATACAGCAATAATGATTACACTTTGGAGAAATATCCAAGCAAAGCTTGGCACTCAGAACCCTTGATGTACCAGGCAAAGTAGCTACACATATCGGATTGGTGTCTAGAGATGCATCAGAAACTTATGGGAAGAGTGTTGTGCTAAGACTCACTTCAAAGTTGGAAATGGAAGGACGATATCCTTCCGGCAGATGAATGTCAAGACATTGCCCCCTTTATAGAGCAATTTCCTGCATTGTTCTCTTTTGCAGCCAACTCTGAGATACCGCGGGCCAATGACACTCCACTGGCAGGAAAATATGGTCATAAGAAATTATTTTATTGGGAGTTGGACTGTACAGAAAAAGTCCTCAGAAGATTAGAAGAAGTCCAGATTTCTTCAGAACATTTAAATGTGCAATTGTCAAGGCAAAAAATTGCATTTTCACAATAGAATCTTGCTTCTGTAATCTCCTCTCTATCCAACATTCAATGACATGGAAGAAGATACAGAAAACAAATCACCAACTACGGTTGCTTGTTTTTAGTAGACACAAAACAAACTACAAAGAAAGGGTATCACTCTGCAGGTAATACTTCCTGTTTGAAGTAGATAATAGGACATCTTTCTACTTCTGCACTGCCCCATAATAGCCCGATTATTGGGTCTTTCGTAAATGTTCTTAGAGTAGATTGAGCTATGCCCAGACAGTAAATGTAACTTCTGATGTGCTGGACTGGATGGAGTTCTAAGCAGAGAAAAGAAGATCTGGAACCCTTTACCGCTACTATTTTGCAGGTTCACAAGAAGGAATGAATTCTATGATGTCTTGACGGGAAGGCTCAGTCTGTACATAACCTGAAGCATAGGTCATTGTACCAATTAGCTAAGTGGTGCAAACTCAAAGATACATATAAAGTAGATTCATCGATTGAATTTCTAACATTTCTACAGGAATAGATGTAAGATCAAGCATAAATTTTGTACTCTCCCAATATTATGTTAGTGCTGGTTTTTGCACATCAAAAAAGAATATTTCATTGCCAATAAATTATCAGGGAAGATTCTGTTACAGTACGTAAAACCAAAGGCCAGCACTTCCTACATGCTTTGTTAACTACTGCAGTTCGCTTCACAAGAGAGGAAAGAGCTTTGTATATGATAGGGAAAAGTAAGTAATGACTGCCACCTTTGGTTCTTACAAGGAAATCCATCCACTAAACCATAAGTCCAACCTACACTAAATATAATGACAACAAAGGTTACAATAAAAGGATTACATAGTGAAATGCAGTAACTAGTCAGATGCCACTGGATAAATGACAAGAGATTTTAACCAGGGGGCGACCAGGAAGCAGCCGCAGCAAGTGCAACTTAAGTTTTGCCAGTGCAAATATATCTAATTCATGCATATTTACGGCACGAACAAACTAAGCATGTCCTTGCAAAAGCTAGAAGTGATTAAAACAAGACTGCTGACCTTCAACTTGGAAATTGATCGTCATGATCAGACATCTTCACTGAGTGCTCTCAGGTTGTTTTGGAGAGCCTTCAATGGCCTTTGCGGCTTCTATAGCTGAGTCTCTTCTACTAATGACTTTCGAAAGCTCCTCAACCTTATCCTTCAACATGCCAACACTAGAATTGGTCGAGTGAACCAACTTGCTTGCAGTCTCCAAAGCAGTGCATAGCTAAAATGCAATAAAGAAGCAAAATCTCTTAGTAAAGTGAAAACATACACAGAAACAGATTTAGAGTCTCCCTCCCTCCCTCTTTATTTTATTTATTGGATTTTAGAGCCCATTTTGGAGTCTCCTTCCCTCCCTCTTTATTTTATTTATTGGATAAGAACAGATTTAGAGACCATTTTGGTATCAAAATGGGAAATCTGGAAATGAGCCGATGTGAAAAGCAAATTGTGTGACCAATTACTACATCTGCTTATCCTCTGTCTACCTATTTTGGTAATAATAGAAGCATAGACTATATACGATACGAAATTAATACTCCACGTCAAACATGAAAAAATGCACAGCTGTAAATCATAAGGTCACTAGATCAATTGGTACATATTACTGCAGCACCAAATAAAGTTGAATAAAAAATATTTAAGATCCTGAAGATTAACACATAAAAGATATTGTGTCTCAATCTTTTGGTACTCTCTTCCTTATCGAGGTATCCTCTATAACTTCTCCTATGATATCAACTTTTATTACCTCTAGTGTGAGATGCGTCCATGAATGATCTGTACCAGCAAGTGCTTTGTTCAGCTGCTCATAGTTTTCCTAAACAATAAGCAAAACATTAAGTTGATATAAAACTAAAAGATCTAAAGGAAGATTAATACCAGTGTAATCAGAAAGTAAAACGAACTCCTAGACATTACATTATATCAAGTAGTGCTTTTAACAGAGACCACAGAATAGCAGATTGTTCCCTTCCAAAACAAACTACCACCCGTACACTGATATTAAACTTCCCCAATTGAGGTGCAAACTATCCTAAGCTAGGCTGAAGCAGGAAAACAGGTGAAGAAAACATAGTTCTCTGTGTCACACAACAACAAAAAACCTAGTTTAATGCCACAAGTGAGGTTTGGGAAGGGTAGTGTGTACGCAGACCTTACTCATACAAGGATTTTTATGTTTATCAGAAAATCCTAGTAATATTTGCTGATCAATTGCCTCACCACATTTGCTGATCAAAATCAATTGCTAGTAATATTCGCAATGTAGATTTGTCATACGAGGATTTTTATGTTTATCTAAGAAAGTCCCCTTTCATTTCTTTTCTGTTTATCATCCCATCATAGCCTAACTTTCATCATTAAGAACCAAATGCTTGCAGGAGAACTTGTAGACCTTAACCATCAACTTAATTGCAGCAGTAAGAAAATAAATGATTTCGAACACATTACTTTCACATACATCAGAATTTTGACACTGAATAGATTAGAGAATGCAAACACGCAGATTGTAATGTAATGTGTTGCATGCAGTTTCCAACCTCCTCATATTCCCCAAACAATAGTGACAGAATTCTTGTCGCAGCAATTCCTATTGCCTACTGCAAGCTTTTAACTAACAACAACAACAACAACAACCCAGTAAATCCCACAAGTGGGGTCTGGGGAGGGTAGTATATACGCAGACCTTATCCCTACCCCGAAGAAGTAGAGAGGCTGTTTCCGGAAGACCCTCGGCTCAAGATAATAAGAAAAACAAAAAGGAGAGAATATTAGTTTCACCACAGAGATCATATGAAAAATAGGAACATAAAATGCAGAAGAAAAAATGCAAAACAAAAATGACGGCTAGTAAATAGGTCCTGTACCGAAAAGAGAAAATAGTAAGACACGACAATGCCCCTAGCTATTTCAGACAAAAACCCTATCAGATTAGGCTCACAACAGTACAAGGTAACGCAAGACTCAACTACCTCCTAGCCTACAACCGTAATACTAGACCTCCACAACTTCCTATCAAGTGTCATATCCTCGGAAATCTGAAGCCTCGTCATATCCTGCCTGATCACTTCTCCCCAATACTTCTTAAGCCCTCTACCTCTTCTCGTGCCCTCCACAACCAGTCGCTCACACCTCCTTACTGGAGCATCTGGGCTTCTCCTCTGTACATGTCCGAACCATCGAAGCTTCGCTTCCCGCATCTTGTCATCAATGGGAGCCACGTGTACCTTCTCCCCAATATCATCATTTCTAATCTTGTCCATCATAGTGTGCCCGCACATCCACCTCAACATCCTCATTTCTGCTACTTTTATCTTTTGGATATGTGAGTTCTTAACAGGCCAACACTCAGCCCCATACATCATGGCCGATCTAACCACCGCTTTATAGAACTTACCTTTGAGTATCGTTGGCACTCTCTTGTCACACAAAAATCCGGATGCTAACCTTCACTTCATCCATCCTACCCCAATACGGTGTGCGACATCCTCATTGATCTCCCCTCCCCCGTGGATAACCAACCCAAGGTACTTGAAGCTGCCTCTACTTGGGATAACCTGTGATTCAAGCCTCACATCCCCGCCCACTTCCCCCGGCTCAGTGCTGAACCAAGCTTTTAACTAACTTCAGAGATAAATCTCAATTTCCAGAGCATTTGTGTTCACAAAATTATAGCACTAACTAAAAATAATTTTGTGGAATAAATCCTGGCCGGAGCGTTTCCCCTTTAATAGAAGTTCTGGCGCGAATCCTGATTAGTCGGGGACCCAAAGTGACATCGGAAATTGCATAGGGGGAAGTAGTCTAAAAAGACCTAACATCACTCGGAACTAATGCAGAATTAACTATGAACAGACACAATGGAGAAAAGGATCTACATATGCAACATCAACTAGTCAGTATTAAAGTAATAGGCTAGTATTTTGGTTTGGACTTTTTCGTTCACATTCACCAAGCTTATCATCAAAGAAGTTTGAAAAAAGTTAGTCCTAAAAGAGAAACTATAGGACAAAGCAACTAATAATAAGAATGAGTATAAAATTGTATATGTGTAACTATAGGAAGAGAACCTGGAAAAGGTTGTTTAGATCGGAAGGTTGGAGGCTGGATTTGTAGTCCGGTGAAGGTGTTATGGTGGGGCGCGGTGGAAGCTGATCATGGCTGGCGTCACTTTCTCCGACGTCGCTGAGCAGATCGCCGATGCATAACAATGGCCCTCCCACCCCTCTCATCTCTCTCTCTCGGTTTGGTCATTTGCCCGTTTGATGGATTGGCATATTTCAAACCAAAGTAAAAAATAATTTGTGGAATTCATAAAATAATTTTGACTATATTTTAAATTCAACATATTTTAATCTAAATAAATTTATTGGGGTAATATAATTTGAATAATTATATAAGTTTAAGTATATAATATGGATTGAATAAATAAATCCAAATTTATTGGGTCAGCCCATTCGATTGGACTATAAATGATAAGCCCAGCTTGGTGATAAGCCAGCTTTTAAACCCAATATGTTATTTTACTAGAGGCCCAGCTCGGTGACGTGGCACGTCAAGTCATACGGAAGAGCCAATAGGATCATGTCGCATGTCAAAATGACAAGGCGTGCTAAGTCAAATTAAAAGACCAATAAAACCGTGCCACATATGCAAGTGACATGTTCTGGCAAATCAAATGTGGTTTTGTCATGCTTCGATCTGATTGGTCGGAAAGAGTTTGTTCTCATCACTACTCTTTCCTCCCACAACTATACATAGGGGTCTTCATAACTCAGAAAAGACACCAAAAGTTATAACAAGAAACAAGAGAGAGCTCGTGGATCAAGCACCACAAATTTCTCTACAAATTTCAAGTTTCACGCAATCAAGTTCAAGCTCAAGAAGGAAGAACAAATCAACGTTCAAGGAGTACAAGTTCAAATAAAATTCGTGCTAGTTGAATTCAAGATTATCATTCGTGGCAACAAATATAGATTCAAGATCAAGCTCAAAGGCTATTTAATCTTTAAGGGCTATTTTGTCATAAGAATATCCCATTTAAAAATTTTAACCTAATATATCATGTTTAAGAATTTTCATATGCGCAATATATGTTTCTGTAGCACAGCCATATCACATCAAGATGGGTCCCCAAAGAAGGTTAGGCATATATGTTGGGTTTGAATCGCCCTCCATTATTCGCTATCTCGAAACATTAACGGGAGATTTGTTCACTGTTCGATTTGCATATTGTCAATTCGATGAGACATTTTTGGTAGAAAATGGTGAGACCAAACGAGAAATTTTGAGAAAAAGTCCATCATTGTCTTATCTTGATCCACGTACCTTTATTTTTGAAAAAGAGGTGTAAAAGATTATTCATTTGTAGAAAATAGCAAATCAAATGCCAGACGCATTTACGGATCTAAAAAGAATAACAAAATCATATATCCCTGCAAAGAATATTCCAATCCGTATTGATGTCCTTGTTGGATAATCTTCTAGTTTTATAGCTAATGAGTCAAAAGCGCGCATAAAGCGAGGCAAACCAATGTGTACTAAGGATTGAAATCCTAGAAAAAGAAAAATAAATGATCACGATAACACTATGAAAGAGTCACATAAAAAATTCATAATTTTACCAATACTTAGATTCATGAGGAAATTACTAAGCCCGAGACTCAAGAAAATAAGGAGCTATCAATAAATCCAATCAATATTGAGACTAATTTGAATCAATTGGATATAATAGTAGATTAAGTCTTTGCATATAATGTTGCATATAGCATTATGTAAGATAGTGAGATCTTAAACCTTAATCTGTTGGAGAATGTCGAAAAAGATGTGATCAATCGAAATGGCAAGAAGCAATCCAATCAGAGTTGAGTTCACTTGTGAAACGTGAAGTTTTTGGGCTTGTAGTCCAAACACCTTGTCACAACCCCAACTTTCCCTCCATAGGGTATCGTGACTGCACCTAGTCTCTATGACTAGGTAAGCCTATTAACACACGGAATAATCAAAATAACAATTAAGACTCTCAAAATATCCACCATTCAGTACATAATAAAATTCCCAAAACCCGATGTAAAATACAAGTCACAAGCTCTTAAAAAGAGTTCTAACACAACTCTAAACATCGGAATCTAATACAGATAAAGAAACATGATAGTAAAGATAGAGGGGGACTCTGAGGTCTGCGGACGCTAGTAGATATACCTTGAAGTCTCCACGTACAGCTAGCTCACTGGTACCTGGTCTGATAAGAAGTACCTAGATCTGCACAAAAACAAATGTGCAGAAATGTAGTATGAGCACACCACAGCAGTGCCCAGTAAGTGCCAAGCCTAACCTTGGTTGAGTAGTGACGAGGTCAAGTCAGGGCCCTACTGGAAATAAATAATAAGGGACATGACGAATAATAATAATAATAATAATAATAATAATAATAATAATAATAATAATAATAATAATAATAATAATAATAATAATAATAAGATCTAATGATGTTTTGGTAGTAGATGTGCTTATGCCCATACCAAAATTGGCGCCTCTTCCTATGAATTATTTTTGTCCAGCCTGCAGTCTTTGCTACTATCACATACTGGTTTGTTCTATATACGTGCTTGTGTGTATTTGTTAGGAAAGAGTATTATATTCTTTAATTGTCTTATGCTAGTGGAGTGGTGGAAAAATAATTATATGCTTAGTTAAAAGTATGTCCACTAGGCAGACCACTTTTTCTTGAAATGTTGAAATAAGTTGTACGTGTATGTTCTTTTCATTATTTCTTGTCCTTTCCCCTTTTTATCACTCCATAGCTCAATAATTTAAAATTGTTTGTTAAAGCAAAGCAGACATAACATAGTGTAATGGCCTTGTGGTCACCTTTGAATATTGTTAACTATATTTTAAGGAATCACTTTATTTTATTTTTATTTGGTGCAGAGTGACCTGTAATCTTTAGTTAGTGGAAGATGAATTTACATAATAAGGGACACAAAACAAACGAAGATAAGTACACCAAATGAAAAATATCAACAGGGTCACTCCTGAGGTCCACCTCGTAGTCTCAATTCATAAATAATTTCACAATCTTTCCTTATATCACCGCGGGAGCCTCCACATTTAGTTTTTTTTTCTTTTTTAAAAAATAATCATTTTTCCCGAAATAGCATCCCGCGTTTTAGCCCGCCTTATCACACCGTATGGCTTCTAGTAATTCCCCTACTAGCCACGCGTATCAAACCCACCTTATCTCACCGCATGCGTTTCAACACCCAGGCCTTATACCATCGCATACGTATTAATATCACAATTCGCACCTAAGTGCCCAAATATTTCGGCTTGCCAGATAATTCAATAATAACAATATTTTCCACAATAAGGGACTCACAGCTAAATCACAATATATACAAAAAAAATCTCAACAAAATTTTCGGGAGTGAACTACTCAACAAAAAAATGTTTAATAATTTAACACTTTTATTTCAATATGAATTATGATTTTTATACTTTAATACCAATTTCAATAATCGATATTCCATAATTTAACAACTCAATTGAAGAATTCAACCTTCAATTAGTGAGCACAAAAGAAAAGGGAACCAAACTTTAACTAAACAAGTAAAGCAATTCGCAAGAAAAGGTAAGGAAAGTAGGACATCTGAAATTAGAATGATGATGATGATTATAGCATGATAGAATAATTTAACTAATATGTAGCACAGATCTACACAATTTAAAGCCAAAATTTTTCACATTTAGCCCGTGTACACACTCGTCACCTCGCGTACACAGCTTTCAACACATAACAATTATCATAACAATACAAATCCTAAGGGAAATTTCACCCACATAAGGTTAGACAAGTCACTTACCTCGACTAGCATTAATTCAATTCCCTAGTAAGTCTTTTCCTCGATTATCCAACTCTTAGTGGATCGAATATTTTGCAGCACACTTTAATATCAGATTAATGAGAAGACCAAGAACAACTTGACCAGAAATAGATCATTACAACAGAGATGGGATCGAAACCTTGACCAAATAGAACTCGAACCAGAGGAAATTTTGATATACAAATAAAGGCTCAAGCTTATCACGTGGTGTTGTTTCGGTGGTTTTGCTATAGATTGAGTGTTGGGTTTAGATATTAAGGTGACAAAATTTGAGTTAGGACAATTGACTGTGGTTTGAAGATGAGGCGTGAAATTAAAAGAAGAGAGAGATGTCTAAAAGGTTTGTGTTCTCTTCCTCCGCCCTCTATCTCTCTACTCTATGATTGTCATTTTTCTTTTGTTGGAAAATGACGTGAAGTCACTAATTTTTGTTAAAGGAAAAAGTAAATAATATGTACATATTAAAATATTAAAAGGCTACATTTAAGAGAAAAGCAAGATACTACATGCTAATTGTTTATACTGTATACATCTAAATTAAAATAAAACTAACTTTAAATAACAATATTATAACTAAAAGAAATATTCTAGCACTAAAAAGGTATCAGGTTTCGGGGAGGGTCAAAAGTAGATGTCTACATGTGGTACCCTTTATGCCAAAAGAAACGATGCCAAAACATGAAATAAGAGCGCGACACAATCCAAAACTTACATGAGCACTCGGAGATCCAAACCAAACATCCACACAAGTTATATAACCACCATATAGCATAGAAAAGAATATAATTTAGGGGATCGAGGTTAAAATACTTGTAATGACTAATCGGGTCGTTACATTCTCCCCCTCTTAAACAAACGTTCATCCTCGAACGGGTTAAAAAAAATACCTGGAGTCTCAAATAGGTGTGGATATTTGCTCAGTATCTCTCGTTCAGTCTCCCAAGTAGCTTCTCCGACTGGCTGGTCTCTCCACTGCACTTTCACTGAAGCTATGTTCTTTGATCTCAACTTTCGAACCTGCCGATCTAAAATTGTCACCGGCTCTACATCATAAGTCAAATTACCATCCAACTGAACTGTACTGAAATCCAAAATATGTGACGGATCCCCAATATACTTCCGGAGCATAGATACATGAAACACTGGAGGAACACCCGATAGGTTAGGTGACAAAGCAAGTTCATAAGCCACATCCCCGATCCTTTTAAGTATTTCAAAAGGTCCAATATATCTAGGACTCAACTTTCCTTTCTTCCCAAATCTCATAACACCTTTCATAGGCGAAATCTTCAGCAGGACCTTCTCACCAATCATGTAAGACATATCACGGAACTTCCTGTCAGCATAACTCTTCTGTCTAGACTGCGCCGTGCGAAGCCGTTCCTGA